CTAAATCCTCTATTTCAGGAAAAAATTAATTGAGATAATCCTTGCATGAATATATTACAGACCACATAAAACCTCTTAAAAGAGATTATTTACAATTCAATAGAGAGAAATAATTTTCGAGTGTTAAAGAATTAATCTAATATTCGGGCATCGCAACATTAAAGTGCGTATCAAAAATATGATCAGCGGTTTACATCAGCGTTCTACATTTCGTTCCACACTTTCGACAAGAATCTGTTATCCTACAAATCTTCACGCGTTTGAAATTCGCCAAGGAAGATCGCAACGCGCTAACTCGGCCCGACTTTAGCGCCCTCGACACCGGAGGAAAAAGCGGCGGTTTCCGGATTTCCGCGAAAATGTTACGTTTGCCCGACGTTTCTATTTCTGCGCGTTGCAATTTCCAAGGAAGTATGCGCGCCGCCAACTGCGAGGTAACGAGCGTCACCGTCGTCGCCGTCGGCACGACGCAGCACCGGCAAACGGAAACTACCGTCTGCGATTCCGTCGGAGATAATGTCACGGCTAGCGACAAGAACCGGCTGACTCCGAAGAAACATTTTATCGCGGATGCGTACCGATGCGCACAGTCACACGTGCCACGCGAATCATTAACCACGTACGCCGCGCGTGTGCATATTCGTCTCGTGAATGGCTATGAAAAGCGTACCGATGAGTCAGGCCCTTCTCGGAAGGTCAATACTGTTTTAACGCGAATGACGCGAACTGACGCGAAATAAAGCATGACTAACGACCAGATTTGTGTGGAAAGATGAACGACGTTTAACATCAAAAACGCGCGCCGAAGTGAAAGCAAATATGTGCCGCTCATAATGTATAGTCATAAATTAAAGCGATCAATCAACTGCAGTTACTGATCATACACCGGAGACTTTTCCTCGATTTTCACCTCTTTTCTTTTTTTCCTTATAAATTTTCAATAATACGCCATTAAAGTCAATATTATTTCAGAGCTTTTGTTTGTGTATAACGGGTTAAATGAATTATTTAACAATATTCCTCAACCTGTTATAAGTGGAATAACTAAATTATTATCTGAAAGGAGAACTGTCTCGCTGAAAGCCGGGTCTAATCATGTAAACGTGGATCTATGCTACAAATTTGAATTTAAAGTCCGTAGAGTGTATAAAGTTGGAAATAATATCTGCTCGCACATAATACGAGCTGTCATTTCTAATCTCGTTATATCTAACGTGAACAGAACTAAATTGTATTATGAATCTTTCATATATGGGCGAGAGAGAGAGAAAGAGAGAGAACGAGGCTTTAAAATAATTTCTCAAATAAATTTCATAACGTTTCATATACGCGATAAAATATTACTAAATATTGTATCTAAATTATGTCTTTTCATCTCTTTCTTAGTCTTAAAAGTAACTGTTTTTATTCGCAACGAGAGTCTTGACCTTGAACACAAACTATTTTCTACAATCTCTCTATTTCTATTGTTCACTTGTTTTCGTTTTCTTTTTCTTTTATAGATATCTTTACTTTTGTAGATATATATGTATATCTAGATTGTGAAACTTTCACTTTTCTATCCTTCCCAACATTTTAACTGCTTTAACAGCAAGTTCCAAAAATTATTATAATTGATGGTATGTACGTTTAATCGTCATATCTACATTCCTACCACTTATTTTCCACCTAACATGTTTTTTTTTAAATGTCGACACAGGATCAACGGGAGGTTTACACGATGATGCGTACGATCACACGACACGCACGACTTTCGAAGTAGGGGAGCGTAAACTCGATATCTCGCGTGATTCATACGTGACTAACTTTTATCAGAGAGCGTCTCGTGCAACGTCAAAAATACGTCATGACGGTTGGGAGCGCAGGAATGCGGCGAAGGACTTAAGAGTTCAATAACGTGGCCGATTTATGGCCAAAACGGGCCAATGGCTGCAACGGTTCAAACGTGCCAATGCATCTATATGTAACTGAATAGATCAATACGTACTCCATTATGTTTCTAATAATAATACAAATGATAGTTAAAACGGAAATAACACAAAATGAAAATCTCACGATGCTTTATAATCAATGTATAATTATACATATTCACCGATGTTAATAATGCTGCATATTATAATTACAAATATGAAAGGGCAGATCAATATCATTATTCGTTTTATTTTGCATCATCAACGTCTTTGATTATGCCGCATCCACGCGCGCGCGCGCGCGCGCGTGTAAACAATCTCGAAAAAATATATTTAACTAGCAATGTTCACACTTGAAAGAGCATAACGTGAATATCGAATAGGAAACGAATCACTCTCGTTAATATAGCCTAGTTTTATATTTCCATATCAATATGAAATCGATAAACAAAAAAGCCGCATATATTTCCGTTCAGGATACAGTTGGCGCATATAAAAATATCAAACTGCGATTTCAAATTTTCAAGCACTGAAATGGCATACATCCGTTGGAACGTTATTGAAACGGAAATGAGCGTTTCAGGTCCGTTCGCTTGCTGCAGATCGAGAAATAAATCACTGTTTTGATGTGCAAGATTCACTAAAAAATAATAGATATTATTTAATGAAACATACTAATTTCTATTCAAGTAATTTTTTTCGTCGCGTGCTAATTTGTTCGTCAATACTCAATTCCAGTTTATTCGTTATACTTTAAAATATTTCAATTAAAAAAAATTGCTTGCTATATTGCATATAGTTTATCATCGTGTATTATGGGCGAGATTTATTATTGATCTGACAAATATTTCGAAATTAATATACACATTTTTTATCAATGGTCCATCGCCTCTTCCAGACGGTTATATTTGTCGTCCTTTACAAATGCAAATGCTTTATTAAAGAATTTTCTCCTCGCAATCAAAGATCTAAACTACGGGATGAGATCTTATAATTAAATGCTCTACGAAATTGTCGATTCTTGCTCGCTATCCAGCGGTTCAATTGTCGTTTTAATAGAATGGTTCGGTTGTCTCGACTTTCAACGAAAGGAAGGAAGAGCTTGTACAAATAACTATATATAACTGCGTTTATAATATTGCAAAGCGGATCCCGTCCCCGAGGCAAAGTTCTTCGAACTTGATAATAACGCACACTCGGAATTGACAACGCGCACCAATTATGCTGGCAAACTGGCTCGCAGCTCTTGTCATCTTGGGAAGCTACAATAATGACGTTTATTTACAAAATGTGCGGTAAGCTTCTCGCCAATTATTCCTACGACGTTTGATAATCGATGTAATTTCATGATATTGGACGTAAAAATAAAGATTACAAAGACAAAAAATAAAAATCCTATTAAAAGCTACTCTTTCGAATAAAAGTTGATTTACATCAGAAAAAGCAACACATGATAAGTAAATAGTAAAACAACGGAGATTGGAACAGATCTCTTTTTATTTGATCTCTAACTCGAAGAGTTTGATATCTTATTTTATGCCGGCTGCAATAGATTGATCGCTTCTGCAAAAGAATTGATATTTCGCGTCGAAACTGTTGCTTCGGATAACAGTGACTTGCGGAAGATTGATATATGTGAAGTAAACATTGAAAGTGTGCTTTGCCAGATTCTTTTACACATGGGATATTTATTTTACTGGTTTCATCTACTTATGCATCACGAATTTCAATAGTTTTTAAAAAGTATTATTTTTCCAATTTCGTATTAGATAAAATAATCAAAAACATAATCAAACTCCATATTCTCTTTATTTTGAAAAGTTAGAGAAGTGTTTTTGTTAATCAGAATTTTTGAATTTTTTGCAATAACCACGCATACCAATTTTAAGACATTGATGAAACAAGTCGCAATATAAACTATGATTCAATAAAAAATTCTAGTGCAAAGTAATGTTATTAAAAGTTGTATGTCAAAAGATGATATATTAAGTATCTTTCATATATTGTATCGAAAGAAAAAGAAAGAAAAACGACATGTAAAAAAATCATATCGTAAATTATATCGCAAAGCAATATTAGTCACACAAGCACATAAATGTACGCTAATGACGAAGTTCGATAATGACGAAGACACAAGAATGTATGTTAATGTCAAATGACTATGTATATTTAAATGTAATCAACGTGTTTTCTTATCTTGTACAATTTGATCTTGCATTATCAATCAACCTCGTAAAACAGTATGAAATATTCCGAGTATTAATATCCATTGTTATCCAGTAATGGAATACGTATTAAAAGCGTATTATGCACAATATATTTGATCATAATCATAATAATATCAATCAACTTTGTCAAAGTATCTACATTTACAACTTAAATATCCCGACATTCATATTATATATATATATATAGATGGCCAATTTCATTTAAGACGTAAAAGATAATTCAATTGCTTTAATATTAAATATCGTTTAATATATTAAATATTTCTAACCTCATTATATTAACATATGTCGCATTCCCATATTCGTCCATTTAATGTTAAATAGTTAAATTTTCATATTTTATTAAAAATGATAAAAATTGCATTTTAATGTTTTAAATATCTTATTTCGTTCTATCTCATGCTTCTTTCTTCTCTAAATCTCATATGAGACAAATAAATTTGCAGGATCCATTGTGAAATCCGTCGCATTTAATATTAGATGCGCAGAGAGAATACGAGTCAAAGGCGAGAACACGATTGCGGTCTTGCGACGAGATCGTATTGTTGCACGGCAAAACGAAAGAGCGGAGCGCGGCACTGTTGGAAGAGTCGAAGACAACGAGATCCCGAGAGATCGCACACGAGGTTCGCCGCTCCGAACGAGATTCCGGGCAAGACCGCGTTACCTGAGCAGAAGAAATACGGCCGACTACGGTGTGAACCGCCTCGTGTGCCACGGACGAACATGAGGTAAGCACGATCGGCATTCCCATGCATTTGAGTAAGAGAGCACACACATTTTCGTTGGAACGTGTGCATCCATCACAAAGCGGCGTAACGAGAATAACGGATAAACGAGAAAGAAAAGGATCGACACTTACCTCACAAGTAGACGCTGTTTGTGGCCTCGGCTGTTCACTTGTATCCGCCAATCGTAGCGACAACTTCACGTCCTTCCTTCCTTCCTTCCCGTCGGCACTTTTGCTCCTTCCCTTTCTTTCCTTGTGCTTCTCCTGCCGCTGCGCTCCTCTCCTGCGTTACACAGAGGACGCCGTCACACGCACTGCCGTGACACACCGCGATACTCGAAAACTTTTTTTCGAAACCGACACTCCCGACTCCGAACGCGTTTCAACCCGCACCGTTCTGAACTTGGCGCACGGCGTCACATTATCCCGCGCTAACCGACACACACTGTAAGGGCACGCGGCGCGTCCACCGGGTGGTCTCACACGAATAATGTATACACGAGTCTACTGGTCGCGCGATAACGAAACAATGCGTGTAACAGGTACAAGTATAGGTCGATGTACGATCCTATTTTAACGCTATCACGCGACGCGCGGCGAGTTTCGAACAGTCGACGCAACTTGCACAATTTGATGCGCCACGCGTACGGAAAATCGCGTTTTACGGTACGGGCGAATCTTTTTGAGCGCTATCACGCAACACACGATATATTCCGAATGATCTGTGTAACTCGGATCTCTCATCGGAAAAAAAAATCGGAGTCGATGCGACTCGACACGACGTTATAATAACACGACTTGCACGCGCTGCCAACTTCGGCAGACTGAGGCTCGAGACGCGGTCGAGGCGCGCGATGGCGACCGGTACGCTCCTAGCGGCCGATATTCAAGGCAATGACGCCTTTGACCAGACTTTGCGCTCCGATTCGCATCGAGATCTGAAGCATGTTACATATATATGCACGTGACGATCAACGGACCAGGCGAGCGCGGAAATCGGAAAGATGACATGAGTACTCGTTGGTTTTCCAACATTTCCGAATGCTCTTTCAAGCTGCTCTGAGTGACGGAACCGAGCTTTCAACGATAAAAAGATTGACGGAATATTCATCGATAAACGCGATATGTATAGGATAGATCAAGATTCATATATATATATACTAGGTGCGCAACTAAGTTTCCGGGTTTCACACATGAATGGCGCTAACGATACATGTAGTCGATATACATGTCTAGGGTTGTTGTTTTTTTATTAACTTGGACATCTGTCAACAATAACCAGTTATAATACCAACACATATCGCAACGCTAAAAATTTTTTTCAACAATAAAGATGTCGAGTTTTGTGCCAACTAAACAGCATTTGCGGGAAGCTTTGCTTTTCTGCTTCAACTTGAAAGAAAATGCAGCTGAAGCAGGTCGTTTGCTTAAGAAAGCCTACGGCAAACATGCACCATCGAAAACTACCTGTAAA